AAGATAGCTCTACACACCAGGTCATAGTTTGGTGACAGTAATGAGATTTATATTTATACGTAGGTATCTTCCTCTTTATCTCACAGATATTGCGACAGAGAGAGAGATATCTAGAAATATATATATGCATAAAGTATAGGTGGAGAACAGGGCTGGGGCAAATATTTCATAATTAATTGATTATTCAATTAAGCATCAATGCTTAAGCATCAATTGCTTTTATATAAAACATTCTTAGCTGTTTTTCTTCGTTACAGAAAGATACATACAAGCTGCAATATATAGGCCTCTGGAAAGATTTTATTTTCTTACATATTCCAATCAAATGGCCTTACTACTGGCAGCTTCTATCATCCTTGCACGAAGTACTTGGTGTTTATAAAATGCCAGCCAGTCATCACTCAGAACCTTCTACAAGCAAACAAAAAAATTCCCCACAGACCTGGTCTAGAATGCATAGACGGTAAAATAATACACCCATCATTTCCCATTTCTTCTCCTGAGACATATGTTTAAAAGATGGCAAAATAGTCACTTGGTTGCTATTGTGAAATTCACAGTGTTTTCCCTGCAACATGTAGACTTTTTGTTACTTTTTTTTGTTTGTTGTTGTTTGTTTTTTTTTTTGCTTCATATTTATGATGAATGTAGCATCCCTCACCCACCCCCCACCCCAGCCCAAACAAAGGTCTTTTAACTAAGGCTCTTAAAGGACCTCTTGATTCACAGCAGCAGTGGTTCATCTCAGCCCTGACAAGAAAATACAACTTCCTGTGCTATCAAAACCTTCATCTTTGATTAGAAACCCTGATCTATTCACCATCGCTTCCCCGGCTCCCTCCCTCACATTTTATAGCAGTATTTGAAATTCCCTTACAGGCTGCAACAACTCAGACATAGTCTAACACATATGCACTGCATCTTATTCATCCAGTGACCTGATCATGGGTTGTTGTTTTATTTCTTTTTAAAGTGTTTTATAAAGTCTACATCTATCACAACAAAAACAGTATCTGAGAAAGGTGGGAAAGAGTATACAGGAGGAAGGCAAGAGGAAAAGAGAATGAAAAAAAAAGGAGCTAAAAGAGAAGGAGATGAAAGAAATAAAGAAATAGAAGGAAAGAAATAGGAAAGAGAAGAAGAAAGGAAATGAAAGAAAAGGTGAGCAAAAAAGAGAGAAAAAAAAGGAAAAGTGAAAAAGGAAGGAAGTAAAATATAGGCATTACTTGTTAAACCATGGACAATATACAGATATACTGGTTTACAAATCAAAATGAATGAAGTCATTTTTAAAAGGGCACACTCCATCATGTATCATGGGGTGCTGTTGCTTTACAAATACCTGTTCACCACCACCAGTTCTGGGTTCTGTAGATCAACTGAGAGTGAAGGACAGTGTGGCAGCTGCTGCAATTATTACTGCTGAATTTTGGCATTCTCAATGTGCTACATGTAGTGTTGCAGTCTGAATAGTCCAGCTCATGCTTGGAATTATTTCACTACTGCAGATGAGTATAAAATGCTAATGGAGCTGCACTGTTATTCTAGGACAGCAAAAGAACAATAGCACAAACCCAGAAATGACAGTCAGTCAAACTCTACTTTTGGAGTTTGGAAGCTTATTTGTTCATTTCTTTGTGACAAATCAACAGGTGAGATGCGAATGGAAGAAATGTTTTATGCAATTATATGGAGGAGAAAAGTGCTTGTTATATCTCTGGCATTCTAACATTGCTTCTGCTGCACACCAGTTAAAAAGTTGACTCTTAGAAACATAGAAAAAGAAACATTGAAAGAAAATGTGATTTTGGCTACTCAGCAGACTTAGTTAATTTATTAATAGCACTCTAATTATCATTTGTTATAACGTAGGTGTATGTAAATTTATACATATACACACAATCCATACATAATGTGCATGCATGTCTGCACATATAAATAAAATACAACAGACATAGGCATACATGTATATGCTGTGTGTGTGTATATATATATGCCATATGTAAGCACACATATATATTATATATATGATCAGTTCATAGCACAGTCCAGAAAGACTTTTAAAATGAGCCTGATTGTCATAGTTACTCAGTGTACACAATTTAGTGGACAGTGCAAGCATGATGAATATACACATATACTCACCCTTTACTGGGATTTGAGAATATTTCTTCTTTTTCTCTGCTCATTCTGCTACACTTACCCACCTTTTCATGAACAAATGCAAAATATGTATAGCTACTGTTTATAGCTTGTCTACTCTGATTATACAGTTTATGCGCTATCAAGAACATTAATGATATAGGTCAAGGTTACCATACTGGTGGCTCTGTAGAACATTTGGTCCTCTAGAAGTTTAACATACTGCTATGTTATTGCACAATGCATTGTAACATTATTCATTTTCTGAAATGACTGCAGTGGTCTCACTAGTAAATCAAAAAGAAGATGCCAATAATTATAATTTCAAGGTTTTGCGAGTTTGGATTGTTTTGTTTTGTTTTATTTTGTTGGTGGTGATTTTTTTTTTTATATTCATTCTTTCAGTGCTTGCCAAACCCACCTGTTTGCTTTCAGGCTGCAGCCCGCTTTTCAGTAGAAGGAGCATCTCAGATGCCTTTTCCTCAAGCTCATAAGACCCTAAGATAGAACACAGCAGGCAGAAAGTCGGCATCTCTCTGTCAACTGCAGCCTTCTCCCACCACACAGTATCAGTGGACAGTTTTCCACCACTGTTATTTTGAAAATCAGACTCAAATTCCTTTAAAAGATGAAACTCAAATTCTCAAGTGAATGGGTTCCAGTGGATGCTCAGTCTTTATCTAGCTTTCTATATGGATTTCCAGGACAGTCCAGATAAAATCTTAAGGCCCGTTTTGTAGGAATCTTCCTCTGGCTTTTTGTGTGTTTCCAGTTCAGTAGCAATTATGAAATAACATCCTGTTATATAAAGAAATACTGAGTATGGCTTTATAGATACACTGTCATGTTTATTTGTAATGCTGCCCTTTCAATGACATTGAGAAGGGTAAAACTCCGTCGTTGTTCAATGAACTGTTTTATTCTGAAAACGTTCAAAATCTTTATAAGCTAGCTCTAAAAGCTTCAGAAGAAAGAAAACCAAAGTACCTCAATAAATAATATATGCATGCAAATCATATATTAAATGTGTTATGAGAACACTTACAAAAATAAAATGCTTAATTTATTAAATAAAATATCCCCAACACAAAAATGAAGGACTATTTTGATCTGGCTCATACCAATCAGAAATAACAAAAAGAGAAAAAGAAAACAAAGATTTTTTTTTTGTTCTGGTTTTTTTTTTGTTTTTGGTTTTTTTTTTTTTTTTGCAGTAACGTCCCCTCACAGAGGGAGGCAAAAGTATTGAGGAATAGATAAGGTAGGTTGTCTCTTGTAAGAATTCATATTAAAAATAATCCTAACTCTAAATCTGAAATCTTCCAACTTCCGGTTTGAAAAATAACAGATATGCCCATGCACTTGTCATCAACACAGTGGCCATGCAAAAAGTACACACACAGTGCCCATCCAACAAAAAAGAAATTATTTAAGAAAGACTGGATGTTGGTAATGACAGCACTAATACCAATACAAACATGGTGCTGAGCTCAAGGTCTTTGCACTCTGAGAAGTGAGCCATAACCTCAGAGTAATTTGTTTTCCCCAGGTATCTCACTTTATCCCCTGCCATGGCTCAAATATAACCAGTGATGTCCATGCTTTAGATTATTCATGTAGTATCAGTCTATTGTATCTGTAACATTGTAAAGGCATTTTAACATAGCTAATGTCTTTGATTATCCCCTTTCAATGAAATATAAGTTATACCATTATGAGTTTGCTATGCCTACTAAGGTGTTTTACAAGATGAGTGACAGTTTCTGCACAAAGGGCATTAATTGACAGAGACCATGCACATTTTTGCTCGCACGGTTTGAAAAAAAAGAATATGCTTCTGGACAAGCAGACTGTAAGATACATCTGCCCCACCATCCATAGCTTGTCCTGTCTTATCAAAATCCTTAGTTTCGTTGTGCGATCCTGAAATTACTACTGTACATTAATAAGCCTAGCTTCAGCCTTTATTAAAAAAGACTTGCTGGAGAACATTTATGTACCAGTGGCATGACAATATTATACTAGAAGACGAAGTAAGGGCATGTGTTCACTTATCACGTTGCAACATAATTACGTGCAGTGCTGGCAGCATCTTTTTCCCTTTTAACATAAACTTGTATCTGGCAATGAAAGCTACTGGCAAAGTACCTCCTTGAATCCCCTTACTCCTCAGAAAGACTCTCCAGGGAAAGTGCTAAACCTCCTCTTGCCTTCCATCAAATCATTTCACTGTTTTCAGTGGGGTTTGATGCCATCTGATCCCACAGTTCCTCCAGATAGTGGATCACACAACACTGTCTTGTTTTCATCTGGCTTTTTCTCTGCAAGGAATACTCTTCATGTAAAGAATACCAGTCTTCTTTTTCCACCCACATGCTGAAGCAAAAAAATTGAGGTGAATCCATAGAAACTCTCAGTATCTTTACAGCAGACATCACAAAGTTCGAGTCAAATATATTTTCCCTTTTTTTCATCCACATCAAAGGCATGAATACAACAAGGCATTGTTAGTTGTGATGGGCAAACTGGAGAGTCTGCTGATATAACAGATCAGGTTTTTAAGGCCTTTGTCTATGCAGAGTTACAATAATGCAGAAGCCAAATTGATTAGAAAGACAGGAAAGAAGAAAAAGATGATAGAAACTGAAAGAGGGAGAGAGAGAAAAGATACGTCTCAGTAAAGTCTAAAAAGTCAATACTGTGTCTACAGATGGAGAAGTGTACATTGCTTGCCCTTTAAAAGCTTCTCCATAACTCTGTCATTAATACTGTCAAAGTTAAGAACACATTTTAATGGAGTTCAGCGGCAGTAGAACACATTCATTCACACAGCCCATAAGAAGAAATGCTATGAGACTTTAGCCTAAAATATCCAGGTAGACTGGAGATGCCTTGGCCAAGTTCTGAAGGAGGGAATGGATTTCTCTGATGTTGAGCCTCATGTGAGGTTCCCGTTGCCAACATCCCAGCATCAAGTCATACACTTCTTTGGGGCACGTGCGAGGTCGCTGAAGAACTCGGCCCTGAGTGATGCACTCAATCACCTGCAAGAGATCAGAAGGAAAGAATCAACATAGCTGCGACAACTACATAGGTCTTATCCACAGAAGAACTAGCTGCTGATGATCACATCAGCCTCACTGGTGTCAGCCAATTCTGCGAAGGACTGTATGTCCAGGTAGATGGATGGGGAGCAGGATGCGATCCTGAAAATCACTGTAAATGTATGTTACCAAAGAGCAATAACCTCACTGACATCATGCATGTCCGTCCCTCTTAGTTCTAAGGAAATGATGGTCAGGAAGCATTCCCATATCTTCTTTTGCTACCCATCTCTTTACCACACTTAATCTCAGAGGATAATTTTTCACTTTGCTCACAGAAAACATCAGCACCCCTTTGTCCCTCCTTATGCCTTTTGAACGTTGCTGTGGCTAATCTCTGGAAAGGCATTACTTTTTATTCTCAGTACATTAAGAGAGCTCCTGATTCGTTACATCTATTTAATAATGCTTTTCAGTAACCACTTTTGCAATGGCATGTGTGATACTTAGCTGAAATCAGCCAAAGGCAGTAATGGAATTAACTAAGTTCCTTTTCATTACCTCATGGTCCTTCTCAAAACTGAACTGTCATATACAAAACAGGAAGCTACATTCCAACCTAGTGTGCTTGAACAAATTCCATCCACCTTGGAAGGAAAGGCTGAAAAGGAAGAAATTAAACCACAATATTTATGAAAATATAATGAATAATTGATATTAAACTTTTTGCCTGTACTAGATAAATTCACTGTTATCTCTCTCCTATAAAAATCATAAAAAGCAAGCCTACCCACAAGCAGTTTGGAATATATTGCACAAACCTCATTGTTTGAGAGCTGGTACCATGGCTGTTTGCCATAGGTAAAGATTTCCCATAATACAACTCCCAGGCTCCAGACATCACTTTCAGTGGTGAACTTCCTGTACATAATACTTTCTGGAGGCATCCAGCGAATGGGGAGCATGGTGTGACCCCCAACCTGAGGGAAAAAAAAGGAAAAAGTTAGAGATAATTCCTCCAGATCCAATCAAGGGAGAGTATTAAGATATTAAACTGGGTACATTCATTGTTTCTACTTTTCCTGTCTTTTGCCATTTGCTTCAAAGAGATTTTATTCTTAAATGGGGAGTTGTGATCCAAACTCCTCTCCTCAAATGACAGTCACTACTGTGGTAGATTTTTCAGCAGAATCTCCAAAGATACTATTTCTGAAGTACAAACTCATCTTGAAGTACAAACATTTACTTAGCAGTTCCTGACCAAGGAACTATAAATTAATTAATTTAGCCTACTTATTCACTTCAAATTAGGTGAGATTTACTCTCCATTTTAAGACTCAGGAAACTATAAATAACCCATGCAATGAAATCTGCCCTGATGATTCTCCTACAAAATCAATGATATCAACTGAAATCCACAATGTTGCAATGGCATGTGTGATGCTTAGCTGAAATCAGCCAAAGGTAGTAATGGAATTAACTAAGTTCCTTTTCATTACCTCATGGTCCTTCTCAAAACTAAACTATCATATACAAAACAGGAAACTACATTCCAACCACAAATCAAACTGACTGAATTATGTAGTAGGATCAAAATTTACATGGTTTAATCTCTTAATTCAGATTGAAAAAAAATTGCCTGTTGGTAATTTCCAAGTTAATCAATACATCTAATTACTTTTTTCCCATTAACTATGCAGTATCACGTAGCTTTACAAAATTTTCAGTCCTTTGGATATATTCTCATTTTGTAAGACATAGAACCTTGTCCCAAATCAAGTTATGTTGAATTTTCAAGGAACTTTGTACTGAATTATTGACTTTCTGAAAATCACTTAAAGCACTTCTTTGTTTTCCAAAAATGATTCCATAAAATGTCATCAGCTAACCTTAATTTAAATCACCAAATACAATGCTTATTTCCAATTTATAAAGGATCAATTGTTCCAAATATTTCCCATTCTGGCAGGACCACATCATTAAATAAATCTACTCAAGTACTTCTAAACAGTGGTACTGTGATGTAGATATATAAACATTCTGATAATTTTTACACCAAGACAGTTGTGAATATTTCCAAGGAAGTAAGAAAACAGGAAAAATTTTTCAAGGACACCAAATTTTGATTAATTATCTTTTTCCTGTGTGAAAACGTATTTACTTATGAAACCATATTTGCTCTTTCAAGGTTCTGTCAATTCAATGCATCATTTTTCCTTGTTAGATTTTTTCATATGCTGTTATAAATAACATTCTTTGTTCTTATGTTAAAACAGCAAAAGGAAAGAAGACTCAATACAAGTTCATATTATTTCTAAAACACTCAGAACATCAATTTCCAGCAATTTGTCAATGATTCAGTGTTACTACAGTATACCAAAAACATAGCTATGGCTTCTAGATCTCAGCTTTGTTGCATACGTTGCCACAAGTCCATGCTTGCTACTGAAGCTGTAAAAACAGAAAGTCATGACAAAACTTTCATAGACTTTCACGCCTACTTTTAGGCACTTTTCCCTCTACCTGAGAAATCACATGAGGAGGAATACTTTTTTCTTCAGATGTTAAACAAAAGGCAGGTTCCCAAGTTCAATGTCTGATAATGTGAATCTTCTGACTCAGCACAAGCTGCTGTCTACAGATGCTAGAGCCATTCAAAATAGGCCCTACACCTGCAACATCTGGAGTAACTTGAAAACATAGAGGTGAGCAGTCTGTTTACAGAGAATGGATATATGCTTTTTTCGATCAGACTGATTAGTCTTTGTGATACAGTTTATCCCTCTGACTGGCAGAATTCCTGTAAGACACTGGTCATAAGTATTTTTAATAATCTTTGACCAAGTTACTCAAAGATGTGGAGAGTTCAAAGTGATGCATGAAGAAAGCTCCAGTTTTCCACCTTATCATAAACTAAACTGACATGGTAACCAAACAGCTCCAAATCACCACTTTTACTACTGCCTTGAGGGACATTTCATTAGCGAGTCAGAAAAGTTAGTCCCTTTGAAACATACAGTCACATACACCCGGCCAAAGGGCAAGTGCCATTAAAAGATGATTAGTGATGAGAGGCTTTTGGTCTCATTAAATATTAAAATGGCTCTTAGGTCTGCTCATCATATAGCCTCTGTGATTGGTTGTTTTCAGCAATTTCTTTGACTCATTCCTTAAAAATTAATGAAAGCTATAAACAATAAACTAAGTCTCTCTATTTTTTCTTATTTGTCACATCCTACATTAAGAGACTTTTTAAAGAGCAATTAAAAATATCGCTCTCCAAAACTTTTCCACCATTTCCTGCTACTGAACAGCAATGTACTTGTGGTAGAGCTCTGAGTCTAGTTCCTAGTGTCATTCAGCTGCATGAATATCTCTAGAGTGATGATGAAAAATGACCACCAAATGATGGTTCTGCAATAAGCTGTAACATAACAGACTTGGTAGACCTAGGTCTCTCTTGGTAGACCTAGTAAGACCAGCTCATCAGTACTGGTCCTCACCAGGAATTCAATTTACAGATAAGCACAAAACATAAGGCTCTTTGGTGTCTGCCCACATAGCTCCGCCTGGAGTTGTGTCCATTTCTGTTCCTGAAAGCAGAAGACTTAACTGGGAAAAACATTGTTTCAGGAATAAGAAGTTCTGAGATGTCTCCAACTCTATCATGGCCAATATCTACCATATTAAGCAAAGTTACCTCCCAAGCCTCAGACTCTTTGTGACAATAATATTTAACTTCTTTGCAAAAGTACCAACACTATTATTATATGGGGGTTCTTTTTTATTTTTTTTTATTTTTTTTGTTTTTTGCCAGATTTCAGTGCAACAAAGAGAGCAAACTTGTGTAACACTGAGCAACACTTGTGGCGGTCCGAGCATCTTCTGTCTCTGGTCCAAGAACATCTTCAGCTTTAATGAAGATTTCAGCAACATCAAAAACATATATCAGGGTAAGATCAAAGGCACTATTTCTAAAGGCACATTTCTTTCTCTATTAGAGATCAGTGGTTACTGAGCCAACTATTACTTGGTTGTGTTAGGTACATGCTCAAAATGAAGCACGTACTTCAGAACCTTCTTGAACTGTAGCCTGGGGCTTGACATCATAGTTCTCAGGCTGCCTGAAACAATTTGCCAGTCAAATGTGAGCTGCTTTTGGTACCTACCTGCACCCACCGCTGGGTCATTAACAGCAGTGAAAAGAGGCAGAGTGCCTTTTGGCTCTTGTTGCCAAACTCTCAGCACAGTTATGGGGTATTTCCCAAGAAGGATCAATGAAAGTAAGCATGAGTATACTGACTAAACTTCAATGGTTCTGAGTATTTAAAAGGGATGCTTTCTATGTATAATAAAAAATGCAAGCATCTTGCAGCATTCAATCCTGATGTTCACACTATAAGTGCAGTGCTGCTTGATACGTAAACAGCCATGTGCTAAGCAGACTACCACTGGAGGTGAACAACACCTTTATATTCAATCTAGATATGGTTATGACGGGTTTAAATATATTACAGTTTTAACTTAACATGCTACCACTTCAAAATGTTTTCTGTAGCTACAAAAATGCTGCAAAATGACAATTTTCTGGATACTAAGGGTAAGTTTTCTTGATGCTCACCTGAAGGAAGCTGCATTTTTTGTTCATTTTTATCTAAAATTGAATGGATCCTTCCTGTGACATAAGTACGCACTTGAAAACATCAGTTTATGCAAGCAGGCCCCTGTGTAGCCTTCTATTAACTTTACTAGCAATATTGGGCTGGAATCTAAGCCAGAAAGCCCACTGAATTAACTTTTGCAATATGCGGACTATCCACAGGGAGGAGACTGCTATGCTACATCAGTGAGCTATGATATTCTCTAAGGAGAAACTGCCACATTGCTCAATGCATGAGATGCTTTACTTCCAACAAAACAATGTTATTCCACTTGACATCACTTTTAGCTCTCATTTGTTTTTTAATGAACTTACACTTTGAAAGATGCCAAGTGAACATACCTTGGACATTGTTTCTGCCTATTTGCAAACATCAAGCTTCAAGGATCACCATGTCTTGAAGTTTGACACCAAAAGCTTCCACCACTTTGAAGCAGGACGCCTGAAGCTAGAGTCAGCTGAAGTTTGCTCGCTTTCTGGCTCCATAAGTTCCATATCTGGCTTTGCAAGGTTTTTGCAAGGTGTTTCTGATGCAGCAGCCTCTATTTTAAGAAGAAAACTTCCCTATACATGTAACCCTGTGGAAGGTGATTTTTGTTGCCCAAGACTGTACACATCCATCCATCTCTCCATCCATCCATTTAATGTAGCCATTGATTTTCAACATAAAATTCAATGGAAACATTAAGGCACATAAATATTACTACTACATGAGCCTTTATCTGACTATCATCAAGATCAAGGTAATCAATCACTGCAATTTTTGTATGTCATGTGAAAATATATCTGTGAACATGCAGCTCCAATCACTGTTTTCACTGCCACTGCCCAGTCACTGTGGGAACATAAAGACCTCTTGCCTGACATTTGTAGAGAAATTGATTCGTTCTTTTACTAAGAACAAGAAAATGAAGCCTTGTGCTCCTGCTGGGAACAAGAGGATATGAGTGGGACTGGGAGAAACCCATTTTTTTTTTATGTGGAAGAAACGGACTGTTTCCAAATCCACAGACTGTGTTTGTGAGTACACAGATAAGACAGAAGCTAAGGACCAGGAAAGGTGCAAGAAATGTGTAAAGATGGTGTCTCAATCAATTCACAGCAGGTTCATCCCTCACTCATTCATACTTGGAAGAGAGGGAGGGATGAGTGGTTGACCCACTTCTGCAAAGCATGCCAGCTGCAGCCCAGGCTTACCATAGTAACAGTGTGAGCTGTGGTGCTGAGATTGCTACATAGGGATTCACGACTCCTGAGCCATGTATGAGGATGCTTGCAGGATAATCAAAGATGAAGGTCCAACTGGTATAATCTCTCTTT